TTTTCCATCCTAACTCAAGCCACCATCTTGAAAGAGACAAAAGTTTGGACTGTGGTAAAAGTATTCTCATACTTTATTATTCAGAGTGTGGTCCGTGGACCACATCTGCATCACTTGGGAGCTTGTTAGAAATGCAGAATCTCATGTCCCACCCTGGACTTGGAGAGTCAGAATCTGCATTTTAACCAGATCACCAGATATTCCCGTGTACTTTAAAGTTAGAGAATCAGTGCTCTAACAGACCTCCCCAAACTCTCTTCACCTCCTCCATTACATTCTTCCCCTGTATCCAGTGTGATCTTTAAAAAACGTTAATATGTTTATACCATTTTGCAACTTGAAGATCCTTAATGGCTTCCCATCTCATTTATTATAAAGCCCCAACTCTTCACAATAACCTACAAAGTCCTATAAGATCTGATTTTTACTGACTACCAGGCACACTGATTTCCCTTTCCTTTCAGTTCTTACAACACACCAACCTTGGTTTTACCTGTAGGACTTGACTCATTGTTTCTGTTACTCTGAACACTCCCCTTCTGCTCTTGACATGATCTTAATTTTCTTAAGCTTTCATTTCAGCTTAAACATCACCTCTTGGAGAAGCTGTACCTGGCCACTCTAAGGAGGTTCCTCTAGTTTTTCTCTGTTATAACCATACTGGTTTCTCTCAGAGCATATATCTCAATTTGTCATTATATTATCTATTTATTTCTCTAACAATTGTCCATTTCCTCTCTTTGACCACATAAGGGTAAAACCCATGACTACTTCCCTAGTTCTTAACACAGTGAATAGAGAAGGTACTCTATAAATATTTGTTCAACAAATGAATAAATCACACTGTTGTTTTGTTTCTTGTTGAATTTTTTCAAGAATATATAATCAAAGAGAAATTGTTAGTGTTTAAAATTCTTGCAATTGTTGCTAGTTTTTTTGTTTTTTGTTTTTTTTTTGTCATTTTACCCAAATTATGCTGTCAGCTATACAGATTCTGGAAGGTTTTCCTAATACCAACTTTGAACATTATCAGCATAGAGATTTTTGTCTCCAAGCAATCTGCAAATGTGAACTAGTTCTCATTTACCTACTGTATCTAACAAATATTATCCTTATATCAAATATCCAGCCATCTTCTTAATGGAAACCAGGAAATGTTGTCTACAAGTATAATTGCTTTGGTCCAGAGTTGATGAGGAAACATATTGAACAAATATTCTTTTTTCTTTTCTTTTCTTTCTTCAGAGGGTGCTGTAAAGGATGTAGGGGTAATGGGTTCAAGGGCTGTTGTCTTGAAATATTAGGCTGCAACTGTTGGTTAACCCAGGGTCAGAAAAAGAAAACTCCCTTGTGATATATCATTGCACAATTGAATAAAGCACATGTGTAATAGAGACTTATATCTTTCCCCGAAACATCTGGCATTACTCATCATGAGAAGCAGGTGCCTAGGTTGGACGGACCACATGTCTGTTCCAGGATGACACATTTCTGTTGTTTCTGGGTTGCATTTGAATTTTCTTTGGCTCTTGTCAATGCAAGAACGTTAATGAACAAAATGATAGTGCAGAGAAAGATTGCCTAAGAATGAGGGTAAACAAGGTAGCTGCTGCCTCTAGCATGATAAGGTTCTAGGTTGCAGAAAATTAGTAAGCCATTCTGTGATTGACAGCCCATGACAGTCCAGATGTAATGCTTGTATACTTGCTGTGACAAGTTGAGTAACAGCTTCCATGGATGGGGCTTGTCTCCAAAAGGAGTGTTTGCCTGCTAGCTAGCCAAAGTCTTTGTTAGGTGTTAGCCAACCATGGGTCAGGGTGTCATAAAAGTTTACTGAGTTGAACCCTTTTCCCTCACATAAACTATTGTGTTTCATAGGATGAAGGCTTGTGAAAGTACTGGAACAAAGTTTACAAATGTACAATACTTTAGCCAGGGTACATCTTGTCAAACTTACTAAGAGAACATGGTGAAGTCACCTGTCCTGTTGTGCTGTTCTCCCTTGTTTTACTCTAGCGTGGTATTAAATCATCGATTGTTAGATTTCCAGGATGAAAACCATCTGGTTATTCAGGTCCATGCACACTGCTTGTATTGTGATCTCTCTGAATCCCATGCAGAGTTTGGCAGGAAATTAAAATTTGAGGTTCTAGTAATGGCAGTGTTTCTCAAGGTGTGGTGTGCTGATTATCTGTTTCAGAATTACCTGGCATGCTTCAGGAAAGTATAGATTTCTGGGACGGGCCCTACTGATCTACTGAATCAAGGTCTCTGACATAAAGATTAAAAGTCTATGTAGTCAACAAATGTTCCAGACCATCCTTATGAATTCTAAAGTTAGAGAATTACTAGCTTCTGTTGAAATTAAGTGTGCTATTTTAAAATTATCTTCTAATAGGCTTTCAATAGAATTGGGGGTTCAAATAATTGACTTTAAAAATAAGAGTGTCATGGATCAGCAATAACCCTACAAAGCATTTTGGCTTGTCAGATTTGACACTAATTAAAATTATCCTAAAGTTAACCCTTAGAAATATAAGTGTCTGAGTCCTGCTCAATAGTGACTCTTTATAGATCAGAGACTTATTTTCAGGAATGGTTTACCTGGTTTGGGGTGCATGCATGGGTGTGTGTATGTGTGTTAGTGTATTTGTGCATGTGTGCATATGAGTGTAAGAAGAAAGGGGAGTTAATTGGGTGCCTGTTGTGTCTGAGGACTTTAGATCACCCCTTCTTATCCCAGGTCAAATACTTATGGAATACTAAGAGGAACTCATCTTTTTTTCTTTAGTGAAATGATTTTATGAGATTTTCTTTTGCCTTTTTCTTTTTTTTTTTTTTAAGATTTCATTTATTTATTTGAAAGAGAGAGAGCACACAAGAGGGAGAGAGTGAGCATGAACGGGGAGAGGGGCAGAGGGAGAGGGAGAATCAGACTCCCTGCCAAGTAGGGAGCTCGATGTGGGGCTCAATCCCAGGACCCTGGGATCATGACCTGAGCTGAAGGCAGATGCCCAACGAACTGAGCCACCCAGGTGCCTCTATTTTGTCTTTTTCTTTTGCAAGTGAATAGATATTGACTATATAAGCTATTCTCATGACTCTTGTTTGTTTGTTTTAATCTATAGTGCAAAGATGCAAAAAAAATCCTTAAAAACCAGTCAGGGTGTTTTTAGTCTTCACTGCTAGACATAATTTCTTAGAAATGTTTATTGAACAGTGATATACAAACAGAAAACACAAACTGAGCATCACATTTAACCAGCATTGAGATCAAGCAAGAGAACCTCACTGAAATCCCATTTGTCCCTAATTTCAGTCACTAAAACTTTCCAAGAAAAACCATTTTCCTGATGGCTAGAAGTAATTTTATTTCTCAAAAATATCTAATCATTTTGCTTATTTTTCTCTGTAAATATTAATCTTGCTGCACATATTGGAATCTTTAGCATCTTGCTGATATATATTAATCCAATCTGAACTTTCCTGACTATGTGCTTTTTTAAAAAAACTCTTTTGTTAATTTATAATTCTAAATTTTTTCTTTCATTAAGTGACAGTCTCTACATTCAACTTGAATCATTTGTTTGCTCCATGTTTTGTTTCTAACCTGGAATGTACAAATTAAAATTTCAGGGTGGTATTAGGTGCATAGTTAATATCAATTATGGAACACTTCAGGCAATTGCTTGAACTACATTAGTTTAAAACAGGTAAGTGGGGGCGCCTGGGTGGCTCAGTTGGTTAAGCGACTGCCTTCGGCTCAGGTCATGATCCTGGAGTCCTGGGATCGAGTCCCACATCGGGCTCCCTGCTCAGCAGGGAGCCTGCTTCTCCCTCTGACCCTCCCCCCTCTCATGCTCTCTCTCTCTCTCAAATAAATAAATAAATAAATAAATAAATAAATAAAATAAAAATAAAACAGGTAAGTGGTTGATATTTTTTTCCATTTTATCTACTGGGAAAACTTGATCAACAAGCAAACCAATTGGTTGGATATAATAGATTCAGTGCAATAATTCATTGGAACTAGGAATAATTCATTAAGAATTGATATTTGGTGTATTAGGGAACTACAAATAAAAAAGCATATAGCGCTCCTAGGGACTGCACATGATTTTCCTTTTTAGTCATAAGTCAGACTGGTATTCTCTGCAATAGGCAAGCCTATTGTCTATAGGATAAAAAGAAAGGTATTATGGGAATGCGCAAAGAGTACTGTACTTGGGGTCTGAAACCTTGTTGCATGACCAAAGGCAAGTCATATACTCTCAGTAAGAGCCAGTTTCTAAATCTATGGAATGAGGATGATAATATTTTCCTTGAAAAGTTGTGGTGAGAAGTAAATAAGATTAATGTTTCTAACCATCTAAGAAAATGCCTGGACATAGTCTTTGCTCAATCAATGTGGCTTTCCTCTCTTTCCGCATGTTAAAATGGGGGGCCTCTTCTATTAGAAATAAGAATGCACTATACTATATCCTTTTCCATACTTTTTCTATTTATTTATTTCTTATTCTAAAACAAATGCATGCTAATTAGATAAAAATTTGGAGATAGAATTATGTCGATGAACTCCCCTAAGCCCCACACTCTCAGAGACAGCCACAGGAAATATTGGTTTCAAACATCTCACTTACCACTGTATTTTCTTAGTACCCCTCCGAATGCTCTGTATATAGTAGGTCTATCAGCATGTCAGGAATTGAACTTTTCCCAAAAAGATATGAAAGTTGTAAATCCTTTATGACTATTCATTATTGGCTTAGTATGAAACCCAGCAGACCTTCTTGTCAACCTGCTATTTTTCTCAATCCTCAAGGACAGATATTTGTCCTGTTAACTTCTCAAATAGCTCTAGGGACTGAGATTACACTATCTCTTTTTATAAGAGGGTAGGTTTATAGGGCAGATGTTAATAAAATAAATCATTTAAAATTATTTTATTAGACTTTCATTGAATTTTAAAATTAAAGCTAGTTTTTCTTTTCTTTTTAAAGGAGTACAGCAAGGGGAAGAACTGAATCAGGAATCCCAGGAGCTGAGTTGTAGCTCCTGCTCCTTCATTCATTTGTTTCCCTGCCTTGGGATCTAGGTAAGTGCAACTTCAGTTACCTTGTAAAGCAAAGGAAATAATGTCTGCCCTGCTTTTCCTTTTATGCCGTGATTGTGGAAATCAATCGTGATAATGTATGTGGTGATGTGTTTCATGTAATAAAGTGCTATAAACCTTTGTGTTGACATGGTATTAATAGGAAAAATAGTGTGCATAACATTAACATAAATATTTCTTTTGGGCTATATGTGCAAACAACAGAATTTACTTTATTTTGATTTTACTTCACAAAGTGGTTATACCTAGGTCCTTAATCATTGTGGATGAGTGTATAGAGGATGGGAGCAATACCTAGAAGTACAAAATTACCCAACTGCCTAGAACTTTTGTGGATTATCATGTCACCTCTGTACTAAGTTCCAGTCTCGAAATTCAGAACACAGAATTAGAAAAAGAGACAATAATACATTTTCCAGCCCTCATCTTACTCAGGAATAGAATTCCGTTTATATTACCATTTTTGCACTTTATAATTGATACAACATGATGATAGTAACTGTTATCCAAAGCATTAAATGGGCTACTTAGCATTTGGGAAAAAATAGCATTAACCATTAAATATTATAATCTTGCATCCCTTAGACATGTTGTAACATTTCTGTGTCTTTGTGCAGAAAGAATCTACATTTTGAGGTTAGAACAAGCTGGTTTTGAACCATTGCTCCACGTGACTGGGGGGTAAGTTGTCATCCCTTCTGAATCTCTGCTTCATTTGAATTCGATGAAATGGTGTATATAGTGTCCCCAGGACAGTGCATGGCACATTTTCGGCATTTTGTAAGTGTTAGTTCCCTTTTCCTTCTCATCACGACACCAAAATGTGTACTTATTTTAACAGATATGAATGTTTGATAATTTAGAATAACATGAAAAATTTACTCCACTTATTTTTCCTATGCATAGTGTAAAAATCCATGCTTTTATCTGCATGGATTAAGAAGCAAAGAATTATATTTTCAAACAAGATGTTTTATTGGGAATTTGTTTACCTTGCCTAATGCAAACATAAGCTACAATTGGATTAATGACTTAAATGTGCAACTAAAGTCACACAGGGTAATAGGAGAAAGTATAGGAGGATATTTTAATCATCTCAGATTGGAAAAGGTTTCCCTTTACGTGAGAGCAACTCAGGGATCATAAGAGAAAAATATGTCATATTTCATTACACTAAAATTTACGACTTCTGGCAAAAAAAACCCACAAACAAACAAACCCATAAAACAAAGGGTAAACTGTGGAAATTTATTTAAAATTCAGAAGCAAAGGCTCATATCCTTAATATCCTCAAGGGCCTTTCTAAAGAGCTCCTACAAATCAATAAAAAAAGATAAACAACTTAGTACAGTAAGCAAAGGTCATGAAAGGGTGTATGTTTAGGTAACTGCTTTTTTCCACCTAAAGAAGAATTACCTTGGTAGTCTTGAGTTCAAGTCCTGAAAACTCATTAAACCATTAATATATTAAACCATTTATATAAATGAATGGGAAGACAGTGGTCCTATATTCTGACATTGTGATCAGCTCTGTTTGGAATGAATGAGATTTCTTTTTTTTTTTTTAAAGATTTTATTTATTTATTTGAGAGAGAGAATGAGACAGAGAGCATGAGAGAGGGGAGGGTCAGAAGGAGAAGCAGACTCCCCGCTGAGCAGGGAGCCCGATGCGGGACTCGATCTCGGTACTCCAGGATCATGACCTGAGCCGAAGGCAGCCGCTTAACCGACTGAGCCACCCAGGTGCCCCGAATGAATGAAATTTCTTGACTGAAACCTCTAAGTTTCCTGAAAAAAATGCTGTTTAAATTTTAGGTTTTTAAAGGGGTGATCTTTCTAAACATGCCTCTTTACTTTGTCTTCTTTCTCAGAGCATTAAAGAACATATACTTAACACTTTCTTGATGGCTTTATTCATCATCATGAGCATTGATTATCCTGTGCTATAATGTAGTGCAATGAGCTTAGGAAGAGCTCTTTACTCCTGTGCTCATTAGGTTAAGATTGCCATGCAGTTTGAATTCTTAGGGAGATATCAACACTAGCAATAAAAGGCAATCCTATAAATTACAGTTACCTTTGAAAATTCCCTAGGGAGTTTCCCCTGTGGAGATCGATATATAATCAGTCTCTCAAGAATTCCAGAATAGCCCATTTTTTTTTGGCATTGGAAAGGTTTGCTTTTACTCAGAGGCTCAGATAAGGTAGTTGGTTCACAATGTGGTATCAGGTTCTATGAAAAAATATCTGCATTTAAACTCTAGGGCACTTGCTTTGTGTTTATACTTTACATCAATGTGCTGATTACATTTTCATACCTATTCTGTGAAATACCCATTTTATAGGTGAATCAATGGAGGCTTTGAAATATGAAATTCCTCACCAACTAATACGTGGGAGAGACTGTCTAATTTTGAATTAGATTAATAGAATTGTGTGTAAAGTAAAAATAAGAAGGCTCTAAGTGAGAGTCCAATAAACTTTTCACTGAATGAAATGTGGAAGTTTTAGGTACGAGCTTTGGAAGTAAGTGCATACTAGCTGTTCAGAGAGATGACCATCTTCTGTTCATCATGAGCATTCTGCCTAGGTGAGGTATTACTTTGCAGAAATGATAACTAAAGTATGAGGTGCCATAGTTTATAAAGATATGTTTTTGATCATGTATGTGGCTTGCCACACTGTATTATATAAAACACATTGTGATTGAGCAATGAATTTCATCTTCTCCTGGGTATCTCGCATTTCACACCTCTATACGTCATTGTCCTCATGAATCTTTCATTGTGCCTCAGAGTTGGGTAATAGAGTTGAGCATATCAGGGATGGAAGCTTTCCTGGAAGGGATGTCTATAATCAGCTGATGAACTGAATACAATTGGCTATGCATGATGTAACTCCTACCATATACACCCCACAGGAAAACCCTGAGTAAGGGAAAACAAACTCACCACGGCATGTTTACTTTCTATTTGTGATTGCACAGTCTTGGTTTCCAGTACTCTGGAATCAAAAATGGTGATGTGAATAGCAAGAGTTAAGGTGAGGCTTTGAGAAACAGGAAATTTTATATAAACCTTCCTTGTAATTGTGATTAAATTACCTAATGTTCTTCTGTTTTTTCTAAGAAGATATTAGCTAAAGAATCATTTTCCAAACCTTATTTCAAGCAGTTAACTCTAATTCTTGCCCAAATGTTTGAGATTTTATGACATTGAAACTTTTTCCTATTCTCTTTTCATTGTTCTCAGCGAGAATTCCTTGCAATACTCTTAGGATACGTCTCTGGTGTCTTTTTTTTTTTTTTTTTAAAGATTTTATTTATTTATTTGACAGAGAGAGAGACAGCAGAAGAGGGAACACAAGCAGGGGGATTGGGAGAAGGAGAAGCAGGCTTCTGGTTGAGCAGGGAGCCTGATGCGGGGCTCGATCCCAGGACCCTGGGAGCATGACCTGAGCTGAAGGCGAACGCTTAACGGCTGAGCCACCCAGGCACCCCTCTGGTGTCTTTTTAAGTCATGATTCCCCTCCACTCCCCTCCCCTCCCCCCACATAGCTGCTCCACAGGAAGAGCCAGCTTGAACACATTTGTTAAATTATACATTTTATCTATCTATATTTTATTCTTTTATTAAGCCCCTGTTGCTACAGAACTTCCTGTTTCTAATGTTTGAGCTGCCATGAATTACTCCTTTTTTTTTTTCAACTTCTGAGTTTGAAATTACTCTAATTTCTTTGTTTTGTAAATTCATGTGGATTGGCTGCTCCACTTTTAGCTCTTCCCACCGCACCTTCCCTTTTGCCTGAGAGAATGTTGCTAGTAGTGGCCACACTTTGGAAATGGTGGCTAATACCATTCACAGGCTGGTGACTTAGGGCTCTTGCATAACCCCTTCAGGCCTACTGTCTTGTCTACAAAATGCAGATGATAATAATAAAATACCTTGTGTAATCAATGTGAGGATTAAACAAATGATGCATATAATGTTCTTGGCAAATTGTCTTGTGTGAGAGAAATGTTATGATTGTCATCTCATTTCTTGGAAGTTCTTTTGTATTTGTAACTTCATCTACACTTTGCAGTTCATATTCACTTGGTAATACATGTAATATATGTTAAGTTGTCTTGATTTCAGTTTTCCTTCCCATTCAGATTGCTCCTTACCTACCTAGCTACCACCCTATTTTTCTCCTTTCAGTAGACATTGTGTGAAGGAATGATCTATATTTTCAGCTCTGGGTTCAAAATTTTAGAAGCTGTCAGCTCTGAAAACACTGTGGTACCCCCACCCCCAGTACCCATCCATACATAAATCAAAGTAAAGTTGTATTTTTTGAAATAATACAAAATCCTATAATAATAATAACCTCTAGTTTACAGATGAAAAATATGAGCTTTAAATGATGAAATTAAAAGCAATTTTACATGTTATAGTTATGAATTTCTGAGTCAGTTCACTATACTTGAACTTTTTACTTTTTCAGAGGAGTAGCTGTTGAGCTATTAGTCTCTGCATTAAATAAGTCAGCCTTGTTAAGCCAGGTGCCATTTCTTTGGCACACACAATCACACACATATACACACTGTCAGTAAGCAAGAATTCTTGTCCCCTCAAAGGTCCTTCTAGCAGGACTAAGAATCAGACCAATTAATAGGAGAAAATAAAATTTAATAGCATATGCATGGGGAATCCACAAAGACATGGAAATTCCAAAGATAGTCAGGCAAAATGAGGTATATATGTCATCCTGAATTAAGGAGAAAAAGGTAGGGGTCTGGGAATTCAGAAGAATGCAATTCACAGGGCAATAAGAAGAGCTGATGTTCAGTAATTAGATGTTACCTTGCCTTGCAAATGGGTCACTTACATAAAAATTAACTTTGCTAATAACCCTTATTCTGAGGAAGATGCCCAATTTAGATTCTGCTTTGTAGTTAAGGGAGGGGCAAAAGTTTTTCTTGAAACTGCAGGGGTCTACATTGCCTTCAGCTCAAAATAATGTTCATGCCAAAGTGACCCATCTTGGCCTTGGCCCCTACAACACATACTACTCTGTGTTTGTGTGTGTTTATATAGTTATATAGTTAACTATCCTATATAGCTAATATACACAGTTACATAGAGTCATGATATTGTTCAAAGTGCATAGGTCTGGAGGGAGATTATAAGACATCTGTTACATCTGTCATTTGCTAATAGGTTTTTGTGTAGGTTTCTTAACATCTATGAGTCTCCTTTCCTGGTCTGTGAAAATGGGATCATAACAATATTTGCTTCTCAATGTTACTGTGAAGATTGGGGAAGATTAGGTAGGCGACACCATTTGAGAAGTTATTTAGCACTACATAACTTAAGTGAATTAAATTTAAAAAATGGCATACTTTCTTTGTCCCATTAAATCATTAAGATGTGAGTACGAAGTAATTGTTACCTACATATCTGTGCTGTTCCTGGCTGCTTACGGAGCAAACTGTCTCTTTATCACTAATGTGTGAACACCAAGATGAAAGTCTTGTTTCATGCAAGGGAAAGGCCAAGGGGCAGATGTGAACATGGATATCTACTTCATAGACTTCTTGGGAGGTTTAAATTCCTTATTTTTAAAGTGTTCACCAGACTGCCAAGTGCACAGGAAATGCTAAATAAATGTGGTGTTGCTGATTTTTATTGGTGCACATCT